ATGACACATAATTTATTTTAGAAAAATCTTATATGAACAATCAGTATAACATTAACAACAAAAATTGCTAAGACTGAGCACCCTGAAATGTTGAAAATAAGGTGAAATAGCAACAATCAACAAAAAGAAACGGAATGACTCGTAAACCAAAATATGAACCGGAGATCTCTAGCGTTGCAAGATTAGATCACAAGCAAGAAACCGCTTTGTAGCTGGGTTAGCGGTGTGACAGAACTATCGAGCGTCGCGTTCTCGGCGTTCCTTCTAAAATGATATGTATAAAAGGTACGAGTTACTAACTTCTAGAAAAATCCCAGATAGAAAGACCCAAAAATTGCTCACCCTTTCGCGATCTCGTCGGTCCAGTCGTATCCGCTCTCTCTCCTTATCCTCTTTGTGTTCTTTCTCATCCTTAGCTTTATCCTTCTTTTCATCTTTGTCTTTGATCATATTTATTATTGCTTCACTGAAAACAAATGAATTTCACCACCACCACTGATTGGAAATACTTTTCACGCTTCTTTCACAATTTCATTTTTTTTCGCTTCACATTCAACTGCACAAGTACATATATATAGACCAAATACATTGTTTTATGGTCCGAAAAATTCCTAACTATTCAAAAATTTCAGCAATGCTTTTTCTCTCAGGATGAAGGCGTTTTTTCTTGTAGAGTAGCTGCAGAAGAAGAGAAAGTGTTTGGGACAGAAAGTTTTGGGCTTCAGCACTCGAAGTCAACGAAATTTTGAAGTTTTGAAGAAAACAAGTTTTTGAAGCATATGAAAAGATAAAAAATGATTGAGAAGAAGGAACTGTAAGAACAGCAAAAGAGCAGATGAAAAAAAACAGATCTACTCAATAAAAAAGCAACAATGACTCACTTTATATTCTTTTGCTGATGCGTGGACAGAGTAGGAAGGAACTCTTTCAATGCTGAAAGCGTTTCAGCACGATTGCTATAAGCCAAAAATTCCTCAAATTCCTCCATAGTAAACTTGGTCAAAATGGCCTGAAAATAGCGTTCAGACGGACACTTATACACATAGGTATGGAACTTACAGAATAAGCAACAGTTTTTAGGCTATTGAGAGCTCTATAGAAGGCCTTGCGCGTAATTTCATCACGCGAGGAAAGATCCTTGGCTATTACTTTTTGAACGATATTTCCAAGAAAACTGTCCAGAGAGGGATACTGTAACAGGAATAATTCAACAAAGGTTCAGTAATGGAAGAAAAACTCCAGATCACAATGCCATACCTTCTTGTAGACGATCACAAGGGTGCAGTAGAATAGTGCTGGAAGCGGATTAAGATCCATGAGCCGCTCTATTCCATCAGCCACCGCTTCCCTGGTCATGGCTCGCGAATCCAGCAGTTCTCGCAAATCTGCGATCAATTCATGATTAAACACTCTCAAAAATACAGACTTGAGCAAAAAGAGATATAGAGACATACTAGCAGTCTGCACTTCAAACTCCTCTGTTGACGATGGCTGAACTTTGTGATATTCGTAGATCAGCTCAGGAGCACTAAGAGTCGGTTCACCCGTATCCACATCTGAATTTGCGAAAAGATTTCGAAAAAACTTGTTTTCAAGATACTCAAAAGATAAAACTATTGCAACAAAAAAGGAATAAGAAAATGATCGTAAAAAAAGGTATCACAAAGGATATAAGTTCTTACTTTTTCCAGTGAGCAACTTCTTGAACACAAGTCCTACAGAATTCTGGTAAGCGGGCTTCAATATAAACAAAGGCAAAATTCTGATGATGTCTTCCTGCAAGATAAGGTACATCTGATATGTAGGTAACAAAATTCCAAGTAAAGCTCACCCGTTCTAGACCATTGATGACAGGAATCAGCGAGCGAACGTCGGTGTTTCGTGATTCGTGAAGCTTCTTCATTCGCGACACCACTTCTCTAGTTGCGGTTTCTGGAAACAGGATACAATCAAGCAAAAAACAGATTATGGAAACTAAGAAAAAATTACTGACGTCTTTCGGTCAACAGATGCACTACTCGTGCCACAAAAGATTCTGCTCCAACGGGACACTCTTCCAGCAAATGCAGCATGTCCTGGTTGTCCATTCCGATAGCTTTTATGGCGGTTTCGATAGATCTCAGCATTATCTGACAAAAATGATTAATTAATGGAAAAAATTGATGCAAAGCAAAAAGTCACCTTCTTGAGAAGTGTTGATGATTTCGTATAAGCTTCGGCTAACGGAAAAAGTAATGAGGTATCCAAGGGAAGGATTGCGAGATAGAGATATATACCACTGCGATAGATAGCCTCGTTAAATTCTTTAGCTCCCTGAACAAAATAAGAAGAGTTGCACTTTCGAAAACACTTTGCTACAGCCTGAGACAAAACTGTCAGAACCTATCCAAAGAAGGACAAAAAAACTCACGCTATAGCTAACAAAATGTGGAGGAGGTGTTGGCAAAGTGCATTCGTTCAGCTGCTCAATGAGTTTCATCTTCAAATCGCGATGCATATATTTCAAAGAGCATAGCTCTTTCAATGTGTCAACGCACAACTGCTTCACCTAGACAACGTGCATTTAAAGAAAAATATAAAATCAATATTATAATAATTATAATATAAAATTCATATTCAGAAACTCGCCTCATTACGCTCATGGAAACATAATTTGAACAGCATATCGATTAGTTCACCACGCTGTCGATTTCGCGTAAGCAAAAGTTCTCGTAATGTAGTCATGCCGAACGCACAGTATAACTAAAAATCACTTGTTTCAAGTATTTGAGCTGCATGTACCCTGTAATTCGATGGAATAGGCGGCTGGAAGGGTGACCGCTCGC